TTGTTCGTTGTGAATTACAGCGTTTGTTTAAGCTATAGCGTGACCGTGGAAATTAAGTGAATTTCAAAGTTGTATTCGGAAAAAATAAACCAGTTTTATTTAAGAAAGGACTTGTATCGCTAAAGTTTCTTCGGAAAGAATTTTTACGGACAATTAACTAACGACAAGAGACGTAACATGATTTAAGTATATAAAACTGTATTTTTCAGTATCAAACTGGAGATGTATAAATGTAGTTACCAGTCTGTAGCTGGAGTTGTATTAACATAATTAACATTCACTAGCAACAGTTGGACAAGCAAAGTCTGTAACAATAACTGTACAAGCATATTTGCCACTTTGAAATTTAAGTGTATTAAACTATTTACTCATTTCAACTTGACTATGTAGTAGAATATTCAAAACTCCTACATTACAGTTGTACTAGTGTATTCACTAGTTAAGGACTGAAGGTGTATTCACTGGTTAAGGACTGAAGGTGTATTCACTGGTTAAGGACTGAAGGTGTATTCACTAGTTAAGGACTGAAGGTGTATTCACTAGTTAAGGACTGAAGGTGTATTCACTGATTAAGGACTGAAGGTGTATTCACTAGTTAAGGACTGAAGGTGTATTCACTAGTTAAGGACTGAAGGTGTATTCACTGTTTAAGGACTGAAGGTGTATTCACTGATTAAGGACTGAAGGTGTATTCACTAGTTAAGGACTGAAGGTGTATTCACTGTTAAGGACTGAAGGTGTATTCACTGTTTAAGGACTGAAGGTGTATTCACTGGTTAAGGACTGAAGGTGTATTCACTGGTTAAGGACTGAAGGTGTATTCACTAGTTAAGGACTGAAGGTGTATTCACTAGTTAAGGACTGAAAGTGTATTCACTAGTTAAGAACTGAAGGTGTATTTACTAGTTAAGGACTGAAAGTGTATTCACTAGTTAAGAACTGAAGATGTATTCATTAGTTAAGGACAGAAGGTGTATTTACTAGTTAAGGACTGAAGGTTTATTCACTAGTTAAGGACTGAAGGTGTATTCATTAGTTAAGGACTGAAGGTGTTTTCACTAGTTAAGGACTGAAAGTGTATTCACTAGTTAAGGGCTGGTGGCATTTTCTTTTTTTTTCATCTTTCATGATATTGAAATATATTACCATTAAATTATTTTGAACAGTAAATATTAAAATTTTAT